CCATATGACCATGGGGATCAGTGCCCTTAAGCCCAAATAATTATCATCATTATTGTACCTGCTTTCAAAATACCTATCAGGCTTCTAAGCACCAATCAACTTGTATTTCTATGTCCACTGATGGAAATCAGAAGCTTCAGTAGATGTGCTTGTTGGCTGTTTCTTGTTCAAACAGCTGTAGTGTAGCATTTGTTTTTTTAATGTTTGAAGTCTCTGCCAGTCAAGCATCATGTTTAATCAGCAGCAAGGTACCTGACAATGCACACACTGCCTTCTTGATTTTGCCAGAATCCTGATTTATGCTGACCTTAAATCAAGCTTTAAGCCATTCCCTAGAAGTATTGGATGACAAAATTGGGATGTAGCATGAAATTCAGGCATAACAAAAGATGGATTACCAATTTTCAATAGTTTTGCTGCAATGATTAGTGAAATCAGACAGTATTTGCTCCTGCCCTCTGCTTTATGAAAGAAGATCAATCTGGCATTTGTGTGAATGTTTTTGATCACATTGAATGGCTGTTATTGTAACAAAACAAATTGTTTAATAAAGCCTCACAGTGGAAGGCACTTAGATTTGACCAGCCTTTGAAATCAATTTTTCCAAGAAGGTTTTTCATTTTTCCAAGTGCACTTCCCTCCCTCAAAATACTTGAGAATTTGATACCCAGAGTCCTAAAATAGTGGTAACTGTCAAGCTGATAAACCATTTAAAAGGCACTTGTATATGTACTTCATGCTAAAATATGTCAACAGGACTAATGCAGCCTATACTGGTACATATTCATTCATTGAAACAGCATGTTCATTCAGTGCAAGTTGACATGTAACAGTGAAAAATAAGATCATAGATTAAGAGGATTGATTTTTCATGTGCTTTGCCCAAGCCTGACAGCAGGTGGCACAAATTATGCATGTCTAGATGAACATGTTGTTTGATGCAGCCATTTTTTATTTTGCCCACTGTAATAATCCTGTCATAGTTGTGTCATGCTCAAGCAAGCTGGTTTAAAGAAAGACAAAATGATACCATTCTTACCATCTGATTGCTGTCATCAACAATAATTACAGTGACAAACTGAGTCTAAAGGCTAATTGCAAAGGATATTATTTTGCTAGCAGGCCTTGAGTGCATTTTTTATTTATTCTACAAGTGATCCAGTGAGCTCACTCCCACTGGAGCCTTTATCACTGAAGTACTCAGCTGTGGCCTCGCATACACTGTTGAGGCTCAGATGTCATTCCAGGGGGTGCAGCAGGCTCCACAAGGTATGATGACACCCAGTCATGACCACAGACGTACTTCCGAACCAGCATACTCAGCTGAGGTCCAGGTATGATTGCACAGGGCAGCGCAGGTCCTACTTTTGACAGGCCACCTCTGAGTGCTAGGTCTTTTTGACAGGCCCACTTCTGAATATTAGGAGTCGTTTGGGTTGGTGGCATGGCTCTTTTGTCTGGGCCAGCAAGGTGGTGTGAGTATGGGACATAATGTGACTTTTACTGGTCATTGCCAATACCTATGTTGTGTTATGGCCAGTATTCTGATAAAGGCCTCCTACTGTGCTGAGCCATCCTGCCCTTGTGTGCCACCCATGAAGTAGACAGTATGGTCTGTGTGTAAGTTGTGTATTATTAGAGTATATATTGTGTCCAGAAATGTGGTGAAATCTGGGAGCAGGATTTCAACTAAATTCAGGGGTTGGTTTAGATCGGAGTTCTCGCCCATGCACAGGCTGTGGTGGCACCAAATAAAAATGTGTATTGAGCATGCAGCAATATGGGGTCAGTGCGCGAGTTTGGTTTCAGCCAAATAGGAAATGGGTTCCAAAATATGTTTGTTATGCCACAAAAATTGTGACATAGCCCCACTGTGCCAGCCGTTTGTCGGGTCAGCTACCTGTGGGTTGTTTTCGGCGGGGCAGATATGGGACGCGATTTCTGGGGCACGAACCCGCACACTGCGATAAAGCAATAGCGGAAACAAGTAGAACATTCTACCAACGGAGCTACGCTTCAAACGTGTGCTTTGTAAGTTCAGGAATGCCAGCCCTTATTTGTTACTTGATTGAGGCAAAAGTTATATTAGGGGGCATTATTAAGTCTGTATATATATATATATATATATATATATATATATATATATATATATATAGATAGATAGATAGAAAGACCTCATAGGGTATTATGTAGACCCCATAGGGCATTTATGGCTTTTTGCCTTTGCTTCATCGCATGCGGTCATATAAAACGAACAATAAAATTACGTGGCCTGCAATGCCCTCTGCAATCATAACTGTCACTCATTAGAAGTTAGACTAACAATATTTCTGTGTGACGCTGTCGCAAGTCGAGGCAGTTAAATTATCTCCGCAGTTGTAATCATTACCCGGTTGTTATTACTATTGCGTATGTGTCCCGACCCTCGTTTTTGCAGTGATTGTCGCCAGTATGTTCCCAACGCATCACAACAAAGTCTGGGTCTCCGCCGGGTATTGTTTCCACCGATGCTTCCATTGTCCCGCCCGACGAGCATTGTCACCAGCATGTCTCCAGTATCCGTTTCCGCCGTCTCTGCCGCCGGCGTGTCGTCTCGGCGTCCGCTAAGTCTCATCATCAATATCCTTGAAGCTCGTCTCCTCCAGGTGTTGCCATAAATACCCCAATGGTCGTGTGTCAGGTATTACAGCTCACTGTTTACCTCCACTGGGAATTATCAGTCATCACCATCAATCATAACTATCCTTCAGTGTGGCTTTCACCGATCAGCGCCGTCATGTCCCCAGTCTCCGCCGAGTATTATCACCACTGTCCCCATAGCGCGGAGGCCATACCGCATCGTAAGCCACACCTGTCTCCACGGAGCAGTGTCGTCGCATGGCCTCAGCTTCCGCCTCCGTCGCGTGTTACCACTGAGGCGCCGCAGCCTCTGCAGGATGTGCTCTTACCGTCGCGCCCCTCGGTCTCTGTCTCCGCCCGTGTCGCCTCGCGGCCCCTTGGTCTCCGTCTCTGCCCGTGTCACCGTCGCGCCCCTCGGTCTCCGTCTCCGCCCGTGTCATCTCGCGCCCCTCGGTCTCCGTCTCCGCCCGTGTCACCTCGCGCCTCTCGGTCTCCGTCTCTACCCGTGTCACCTCGCGCCCCTCGGTCTCTGTCTCTGCTCGTGTCACCTCGCGCCCCTCGGTCTCCGTCTCCTCCAATGTCACCTCGCGTCCCTCAGTCTCCGTCTCCTCCCGTGTCACCTCGCGCCCCTCGGTCTCCGTCTCTGCCCGCGTCACCTCGCGTCCCTCAGTCTCCGTCTCCTCCCGTGTCACCTCGCGCCCCTCGGTCTCCGTCTCTACACGTGTCACCTCGCGCCCCTCGGTCTCCGTCTCTACCCGTGTCACCTCGCGTCCCTCAGTCTCCGTCTCCTCCCGTGTCACCTCGCGCCCCTCGGTCTCCGTCTCTGCCCGTGTCACCTCGCGTCCCTCAGTCTCTGTCTCTGCCCGTGTCACCTCGCGCCCCTCGGTCTCCGTCTCTGCCCGTGTCACCGTCGCGCCCCTCGGTCTCCGTCTCCGCCCGTGTCACCTCGCGCCCCTCGGTCTCCGTCTCTGCCCGTGTCACCGTCGCCCCCTCAGTCTCCGTCTCCGCCCGTGTCACCTCGCGCCCCTCGGTCTCCGTCTCCGCCCGTGTCACCGTCGCGCCCCTCAGTCTCCGTCTCTGCCCGTGTCACCTCGCGCCCCTCAGTCTCCGTCTTCTCCCATGTCACCTCGCGCCCCTCGGTCTCCGTCTCTACCCGTGTCACCTCGCGCCCCTCGGTCTCTGTCTCTGCCCGTGTCACCTCGCGCCCCTCGGTCTCCGTCTCTGCCCGTGTCACCGTCGCGCCCCTCGGTCTCCGTCTCTGCCCGTGTCACCTCGCGCCCCTCGGTCTCCGTCTCTACCCGTGTCACCTCGCGCCCCTCGGTCTCTGTCTCCGCCTGTGTCACCTCGCGCCCCTCGGTCTCCGTCTCTGCCCGTGTCACCTCGCGCCCCTCGGTCTCTGTCTCTGCCCGTGTCACCTCGCGCCCCTCGGTCTCCGTCTCTGCCCGTGTCACCGTCGCGCCCCTCGGTCTCCGTCTCTGCCCGTGTCACCGTCGCGCCCCTCGGTCTCCGTCTCCTCCCATATCACCTCGCGTCCCTCAGTCTCCGTCTCCTCCCGTGTCACCTCGCGCCCCTCGGTCTCCGTCTCTGCCCGTGTCACCGTCGCGCCCCTCGGTCTCCGTCTCTGCCCGTGTCACCATCGCGCCCCTCGGTCTCCGTCTCCGCCCGTGTCACCGTCCCGCCGTCGGCAGGCGCCGCTCAGCCCTCCGTCGGCGCTCATCAGCGACGACGAGCTGGTGACCATCAGCGTGCGGGACCTGAACCGCCAGCTCAAAATGCGCGGCCTTAGTCGCGAGGAGATGGTCAAGATGAAGCAGCGCCGCCGCACGCTCAAGAACAGAGGCTACGCCGCCAGGTGAGCGCGCCGACGGGAGGGCGGGGTGGCGGTGGGGGAGGAGGGGTGCGAGTGGAGGTTGAAGCCACACAGCCAGGCGCGATGCTGGACGGCGACCCGACCAGGTTTCAGGCCAGGTTTCCTAGCGCTTTGTCTGTGGCCGTACGCTATGCTTTACACTGTCCTGTGTATAACGTTTGTTCGCGGCGTGCTGTTCCAGGTTTCATGTTGTGCGTTAAGGTCCGGCGTTTGTGCGCAAGAAACCTCCAATGCCAATAGATTAGCAATAGTTAACTATTGCACATGTCTTCGCCCAAAGCGTGGTGCCCGTGGAGCGTTCAGCAGCCCTGCTCAACTCCATTTCGTATTATGTTCGCCAGCTGCCGCGTCAAGCGGCTGGAGCAGAAGGACGAGCTGGAGACGGAGAAGTCGACCGAAGAGCACGAGCGGCTGCGCACCATCGACGACAACCGGCGTATGCGCGAGGAGATCGAAGCCTACTACCAGAAGTACGAGGCCATCCGCAAGTTTGCCCAGGAGAAGAACATCCCGTTGCCTCCCGATCTGGAGCACGACGTGCCGCGAATTTAGCTGCAGCGTCTCGTGCGTTGTGTTGGTGTGATGCGGCTGCTGGGCGGGTTTTCAGCTGCGCGTGTTGGGCTTCCGACCGGTGTGGTCAGGTGCGTGCCGACGAACAACCGCGTGGCGTGGGCCTGGACGGTTCTCAAGTGCGGTGCTCAGTAAGGAGGTGCTACGGGTGCGTTGAGATGTGTGGCACGAATGGAATGGGAGTGCAGCGACTTGAATCGCGAACAGGCCCCGGTTGTCGTATATCGTTATTTTACGCAATTGGGAGTGCGAAATCGTGTTATGAGTGTGCACCATCACGTGCGCCCCGTTCTTTGGTGTAAGGGGTGAGCAAGGCCGGCATGGTGCCAATGGGGCGTGTACGTGTGGGCACCAGCTGTACGAGGCAGAGTGGAGTCATGGCCGATTCCAGGATGGTGTCTGTACTAAGCACGTATTTAGAGAAGTGTTTGTTGGCGGGCGAAGCCTTGCGCGACTTGATAAACATAACTGCACAGCTTGCTGATGATTTCGTTACTTTTACGTCTGGGAGTGAATGTTTTTATTACGCTGCTGCAAGCGTGCCGTGAATATGATGCGGAGTGTCGTCCAATAAAGATAGTTTTACACATAATGAGCGAGCTATTTGCGAGCTGTTCCGGGTTCGCAAGTAACGAATGGCGGTCGCCGAGCGTCTGGGTCACAGAAAGTGATCAAACGGCGCAGCCATGCCCTGGAGCTAAGAGCGTGGCTAGATCAGCGTCGGTGCGCTTCACTGGGACCGGAAGGCTTTCAAGCCATGACAAATGCATCGCGGGTCTGAACTCGGGTAGCCAGGCAGTTAATGGAAACCAGTTTGCAACGGCTTTGTCGGAATTACATTATAATGCCCCAGCAAGCGTTCCGCCTGCCTTCAGCCTGCACACGCTGTCCAGCATGAAGTCAGCCGGCGGCGGCCGAGAGCCGGGCGCTGCGGAAATCGATGTGGCTGGTCGCGCTTTCATTTTCCGGCCGGCCGCGCGAGCGATATTCGATGGTCGTCTCGCGGCCTGCCCGGGGGCACAGGTCAGACGTCGTCCAGCCCGTGCGCCGGCCCCCGCGCCCGTCAGTACTCTGAACGGGGCGGGGCGGGGGGGGGGGATGTAGACAGGGCGGTTGTTACGCGTAGTCGTCCAGATGGGGATCGCGCGAATGGACTACGGCTGGCGCTGTTGGAGCTGGAGCAAATCTGGCGGAACTGTGGCGTAAACATCCAAAGTACGAGGGGTTAGCTAAATTTGGGTAAGAAATACACCCTATGTAGCTTACAGCCTATTCCGCGCGACGTCGATCCATTCAAGGGACGTCACACTTTAACCGATTAAAGTTCATCATACACAGCCATGAATTTGTTTTAAGGATGTGGGTGTTGCGTTTCACATACATGTTTGTGAACAAGGCAAAGCATTTGCGCAATCGTTTTCCAATTATTCTTATAACCCACTCCGGTATTCCCTCGCTTTTAATGGCGTAACTTTGCCATTGTTTCGTAGGACTGCTCACGGTGAATCTCACGTTACCGGAAGAAATATACCCCGGCCTAAATCGCCTTCAGGTTCAAGACGAAGGGATCCTTTGGGACCCGATACAAATATATTGGGTGATAACTTGATCCCAATCAACACATTCTAGTTCGAGATCACATAGACGCATGAAAGGTGAAACGTACGCCCTCAGCGTGAGTACAGGGGATTCGATCCACTCGCTACGAAAATAACGCAACATTTATGTATTTCCTCTGTGAGCATCATGTGCGCCGGATGTCGCGCAGGCGTCAGAAATGCCACATGCTCCTTGGGCTGTAGGAGCACGGAGGGCAGTGAGTCATAGCAGAGAAGGGCACGCTTGTGACAGCCCTCGGCGTAGCATGGGAAGAATTATTTTAGAGGGGGGCTCTCCCATATTTGAGGCCTCTCCCACGCTCCTGTTCTTGCTCTGCTCACCCTTCAGATCAGGCTCAGGGGTGACGCCATGAGCTCAGTGAAGGACGAGCAGATGTTTTTCATGGCGCTTCTGCCGGATGACGGGCCCCCGCAGGTCAACGGGGGCCCCTTATGCATAACAACCGGTCTTGCGATGCAACCTTGTGAGTATTCTAATTATGCGAAGCTTCGATGGGACGCAACCGAAGGGTAACAAGGGGGATGGGGCTGATGGACAGCGTACCATTACGCGCAGGTGTGGTTGAAACTCATTTAAGCCTTAAAAAAATGTTTCGAAACCCTTCAGCCGAATACCATTTGCCTCTTCTCACAACAAACATGCGTGCTTCTCTCGCACCACCAGCTCGTTTAGGGGCCAAACGGACGTTAACCTTTTGGGACGTTGCTCTTAACGCAGTGTAATCAGAGGGAGAGAGTTTCGTCCCGCATGAACAGCGCGTGACCAGGGGGAGGGGGTTGAAAAATGGCCCAAAATGCGTAAGATAACTAATAGATGGCGTCTGATGAGCCTCCGCCACGAAGAGTGCTTCTTCGGCATAACTGCATCCCCGTCCTGATTATGCCTTTAGCTGATGTGTTATGCAATACTTCGTAGTAGTTAGGCACGAAGCTTTTCATTGGTGGGTTGCTGGAATCAACGCCCCAGCTAAGTCGTGATATTACGGAGTATTGATACCACCAAGTCTTGATACCACCCAGTCTTGATACCACCCAGTCTTGATACCACCGGATATTGATACCATCAAGTCTTGATACCACCGAGTCTTGACACCATCTAGTCTCGATGCCACCAAGTCTTGATACCACCAAGTCTTGATACCACCGAGCCTTGACACCACCGAGTCTGATACCACCGAGTCTTGATGCCACCTGGTTTTGATACCATCAAGTCTTAAACACCACCGAGTCTTGATATCACTGAGTCTTGATACTATCTAGTCTTGATACCACCGAGCCTTGATACTATCGAGCCTTGATACCACCGAGCCTTGATACTATCGAGCCTTGATACCACCGAGCCTTGATATCACCGAGTCGTGATGCCCTCATCCAGGGCAACGGCAGTATTTGGCGGCCGAGGTTTAACGCGGTGTCCTGCTCGGCGCACTCTGTCTTTTCCCCTGACGTCACCTGACATTTGTCACGACCACTGTCACCGGCCACAGGTCATCCCAGTCCAGAGCAAATAGCCGGCGGGATCCCGAAGGAGTCCAGACGGATCCCAGAGGGAGCGCCTGAAGCGACTCGAACCAGCCCGATGCTGGTGGTGAAAGGAAAGACAGGCACTTTCAACCAACTGAGATACCGTGACGGACAATGTGCTTAATGTATGTGCTTGATGGCGCGTGTATGCGTCTTAGGGACATCGACATTGGCAAGCTAGTTATGCGTCTTACACATTTGCAAAATAATCCGTCACTCCTCTAAAGCACGGGTAAACCGGCCTTTCGTAGATGCATGTGGAAACAAAATCGAGCACATTTCAGTGCACGCGAACCAGACCAATACCAACGGTTAAATAAAGGCTATCGAACACAGCTGCGACGCTGGTCACATGGCAGCTGAGGCCTCTGCGGGTCGGGAGTGCTCCCCCCCCCCCCCTTCCCCTCTCGACTGTAGCGGGGGCCTGCTGTCGTCGTCATTTTCCGATGAGGCTTCCTCTCTTTCCGCATCATGCCTGTTCTCGTCGAAACGATGACGGATCCTTTCCTTTCGCATGACGGAGTCTTGACCACTCTATAAATTTAGAACCTCCTCTCAGTCATGGCAGAGACTTTCCGTCTTTCTTACCCCTTCATCATGCAGGATATCGATCCTATTGAGGCCTCGTCCCGTTCCCATGATGTCCCATGCCTGTTATCGATCCGAGGCAACGTCCCGTTCCCATGCATGATATCGATCCCGTCCCGCATGAACCTCACCCTGGTTCCCAAACGCGCACGATCCCTTTATCGCTGATGATTCTTCTCACTCACAATAGGAGCTTCCTGCAGCACGATCCCTCCCGACGAAACCAGAACCAGTTTAGTGAAACAGTCAACCCGAGACTGTTTGACGTTACTGTTAGTCCATGAAGAGGCAAATAGTTACATGGGCAAGAAACAGAATTTTGTATTTTTACTCTGTCAGTTCCACCACTAGATTACAGCACCAGCCCGCGGTATTGCACCGGGGCTGCCTTATGAACATTTTAATTGGTGTTCTTAAGTGTTTAAAGATATTTTCCAGACATGTCATCATCTTCGCCCGCCCGCTGCCCGTCACTAAATGTTAACCGCAGGGTCGACGCCGCGCGGCCTATGGAGACTGCAACGCCGGGTGTCGAAGTTTTGTATCAAGACTTGCGAGTGCGCGTATTCGAAACTAGGTTTCAGAACTTCTTATACTATTGGATTCTGAATAAAGATCAAACATTCCCAGACGAACGTAAACCTCATTTTGATCTGCAATCTACGCTCACGGAATCCTCAATATCTCCGTAGAACCGAGAAACAATTCCGCCAAAGCCTGTCACTGCTACTGGTCTAGAAAAAGTTCACTGATGCATTTAAAAAGGAATGACAACGGCAAGCATTCCATGCGGCCACTTAATACCCGCTTCGTTCAGTTTATTCACTCCAATATAAACAAAGAATTGTATCGTCCGGTAGTCCCCAGCATCCCCAGTAAATAAAAGCAAGATTATGACCAGGCGATGAAAGTCATGCCCCTCGAAATGCGTTGACCATATCTGGTTTTTTCGGTGGGGTAGCCTTTTCACCATCAGGGGCCCTTTGTAAACCCTGGGCCCCCTTATTAAGACTCTGGCTGTGCCACTGGTATTATGCCAGGAGTGGAATAGACAAGCGGTTGGCTGATCCATGCCGTGGGATGTAACGAGATGTCCCAGCTCGCTGGATTTTAATTTTAATAGTTATAGCACCATCGTCAGCTCAAAACATTCTCTGACATTCTCACAAAAAAACGTTGCCAAATACCGTTGCTTGGCTACCTCAGCATCGACACGCGTTGTTGTGTTCCGCTCACGCCAGCCGATGACACGTCAGGCCTCGCCCTTCTACAGCAGCAACATCACTGTCTGCCAATGGCACCAAGTGAGAGGTAAACGCCGTGGGCCAAAGCCTGCTGCCTCGGAGCAGCGGCACGGGGCGTGCGAACAGCAGCAGACGTCATACCTCCGCGCTATTTTCCAGCTGTTTTGGATGCCTCCCCGGACAGTCATCAGGAACACCCAACTCCGATCGCTCCCACCTGATCGCTCCCAACTGTACTCCCAACTGGCCCCGGGCAACAGCTCGTGATGCCACCTGACCGACGCGGTGTATTCGTGTTGTCCCGGAAGACCCACGCGGTAATCATTTGTAGAACGGCATGGCCGTAATTACAGTTGCCAGGGGCGTGGCCGAGGGAGGTTAGCGGGTGGGGAAAGGTCATGAAGTTCACGAAGCTGTCCCTGTACATGACAAGACCTGATAAATGTGAACACTGCAAGTCTGTGGTCGTTTTTGGTAAGCCAGTCGCCTCTCACCTTCCGAGGAAGCGCAACATTAGCCATGGCAGGAGAGTAGTTTCATATTCAGTAGCGGATTCCAGCCCTCCCCTCTCCCCCCCCCCCCCAGCT